TTTTTATGTTTTGTTTTGTATTGTTTTGCTTGGGGGTCAGTCTGCCCATGGGGCTATGCTGGTTTATTCCAGGGGTGGCTGGGGGAATACCCCATAACACTTGGCACTCACCTGTTTGGTCTGCCGAACATCTCCCAAGCAGGTTTAGAGCCAGTGGCTGGTGGCGGCAGTAGCCTACCTGTTTTCTCAGTGTAACATGGCATGGAGAAGCTTTCTACAGGCTAGGGGTTCAGGAATTCCCCTTGGTGCTTTATTTCCACCAAGTCTGGCTCCAGTGTCTTAGCAAGATTTTGATTCATGGAGCTCATGCTGCCTGCTTCTGTACCCTAGTCACCATCTTGGATCCTCCTGAGATAAAGTTTGAGAGACAGAAAAGCAGATGATTTACTCAGGTTCTGCCTGATCACTTTAAAATTATGGTCTCCATATTAGTAAGTTCAGGAAATGTTACACAGTTTAAGAAACATTGTGAGTCAATATATCAGGTGAGAAAGAGGATATGAAGAAATAATTCTAGCTATAATGGGGTGAGTGATTTCTGGTGAGCGGGAGGATGCTGATAGAGAAAAACGAAATACTTGAATCTCATTTTGAAATATTTGGTTGGAAAAAAAGATTGTCCTTAGGTCAGACAAATGCTATTGGAAATATGTGTGGATTAAGGCCCTACTAGAGCTTAATCTGGGGACTTCAGGATAGATATTCAGTTTTTTAAAAATTTCTATGCCTAAGTGAGAGCACACAAGGGAGGGGTGAGGATAGGTAAGACACCTAAAAAATTAGCTGGCATTTGTTGCCCTTAATGCAGAGAAACTAAAGCAGATACCTTAAAAGCAACTGAGGCCAATAGGAAAAGGGGACCAGGAACTAGAGAAAAGGTTAGATCAAAAAGAATTAACCTAGAAGGTAACACACATGCACAGGAAATTAATGTGAGTCAACTTCCTGTTTGGCTATCCTTATCTCAACCAGCAAAAACACTTGTTCCTTCCCATTATAGCTTATATTCTCTCTTCAACAAAATTAGCAATAAGGGCAAAATAGTTTCTGCTGGGTTTTGAGAGGGTGGGGGGGAGAGGGAGGGGGTGGATTGGGTGGTAAGGGATGGGGTGGGGACAGGGGGGAGAAATGACCCAAGCCTTGTATGCACATATGAATAATAAAACAATATAATAAATAAATAAATAAATAAAATTGTAAAAATAAATAAATAAAAATTAAAAAAATAAAAAATAAAAATAAAAATTTTTATGCTAAAATGTGCACTGAGAATCACACAGTAATTCTCATTATTAGAAGAGGCCTCTGGGAACGCCCAGAGGGTTAGCATCAACAAAGAAGAGTAACAAAAGAGAATGAGACTAGATCCTCATTAGACAATTTTATTACAAATGATTTTAAATTTGACATAATAACTACTATACTGTTAGATTTTGAAACAACTGTCTAAAATTTCTTTCCCTTAAGGATTTCTTCTGATTGTTTCCTCTAAAGTCTTTCTGGCTCTGTTAATCAGCCTCACTTGATTGCATACTGAAATATCTCCCCAACCTTATTAAAAATACTTTGTTAGAAAGTGGTACAAACTCATTCAAAAATAGTATTATTTAAATAGAAAATATAATTAAAATTGCTTCAATTCCCCCACATCAGAGTGCACATTTTTAACATTTGGGTGAGAAATCTCTCCAGCATGCAGTTACACATGCCCACGATCCTGATATTTAAAAAAAAACATGTACTCATCATGTTATTGAGGCATGTACCTTCTATGGGAAATTCTATCTTTGCTGTATTCCTGAGGTTTTTATTTTACAGAATCAGTGTTAGATAAGCAGAAAATGGAGAAGCAAGGAAAGAAAGATTAACAAAAAATTAAAAACAGGAAGAATGAGTTGTGTAAAATAATAGGAACAGTTACAGTAAGAAAGCTGGTGAGAAATAACTGAAGCCAATGTTGTCTAAGAGAAGAGACCTTGGAGGACTTAAAGAAGTATTACAAAAAATGTTGGATTGTTCTTATGATTTGAATAGATTGATAGGAAGAAAATGGGGTTAGACTTAAGCAGGAAAAAGATAGTAGGTTGGACATTTATAATCAGTTTCAGAAAATTTGCTGCATTTGCTGGGCAAAAATCTGAGATGGAATGTTGTTTATATCCTCAAACTAATTTGTGATGTGAAGAACATCTAATATTCTTGAGCCTCATTTTGTCTTCTGTAAAATGATGTCACAGGACACTCATATAGATCAATTTAGATTACACATTCAAAGAAAATCCACAGTGTCTGGGAAAGGAGTAAGGACTCACTAAATGGTACTCCATTGCTATTGCTGTAAGCAGATTCCCTGCACCTTAGGCTGCATTTCTCAGATGCCTTTCTGCCACACTAAACTGAAATAGTAAAAAATTGAGAAACAGTGGTCTGTAAGGCTTCAACCATAGATGCAATAATAAGAAAAAGAATAGATCTAGCAAATTCTCTGAATATGCAGCTTTAAAATGTGGTAAAATACACAAGCATAAAATTTAAATTTTGAATCATTTTTCATTGTATAGTTCAATGGTATTAAGTGTACTTACGTTATTGCTTAATCTCCAGAGCTTTTTCATCATGCAAAAGTGAAATTCTACAGTCATTAAATAATAACTCCCTTGCTCTTTTTCTTACTCATTCCCCCCTAAAAATTCCCAGGCTTTGGCAACCACCATTCTATTCCCTTGTTATATGAAAGGAATACTACAGAAAATATCATAAGACTAGAATTTTCTTTTTGTGACTGGCTTATTTCACTTAGGACACTATCCTCAAGGCTCATCTATGTTGTAGCATGTGTCAAAATCATAATGTGCCTTTTTAAGGCTAATTAGTAGTCTGTTGTATGTGTACATCTCTTGTACAGTGAATTTATTCAATTAAAAATTTGAGTTGCTTCTCTCTCTTGGCTATTGTGAATAAAGCTGCTATGAACATAACTGTACAAACCACTCTTCAAGACCTTACATTTTAATTTTGTGTGTGCACCTAGAAGCTGAATCAATCGATCCTGTGGTAATTCTATTTTCAATGTTTGAGGAAATTCAAAGTAATTTTCCTCCTAGCTTCACTACTTTATATTTATACTAATAGCACACAAGGGTTTCAATATCTCCATATCACAGCTAACAATTATTATTATTACTATTATTTTTAGTAGTGTTCATCCTAATGTGTTTAAGGTGATATCTCATTGTTAATTGTTTTCCTAATGATTCCTGTTATTAAACATCTTTTCATAAGCCTATATATTTGTATATTTTCTTTAGGAAATGTCTATTTACATCCTTTGCCCATTTTTCACTTAGGTCATTTTTTGTTTTATGGATAAGGTAAAATTTTAATTGTATTTACACACACACACACACACATATATACACACATATATATACCTACATACATCTTTTTCTTCTCATTTTTTTGTGGGGGGGGGTAGTGCCAGGCAAGCACTCTACCACTAAGCTATGCTCCCAGCCTTGCATATGTACTTTAAAGTAAATATTATGTTGGGAAGATATAAATGTAGAAATAATTTAAATTGCTTCATTTTTTCATGTCAAGCAGTCCATGAAGTAGTTATGTTGAAGGGATCAAAAGAGTAGTCATTCATATTTTGGCTTTAAGCTATCTTCAATTTTACTTAAGAATGGATACATATTTAAATTAAGACCTGCTAACATCCTCATAGATATTCTGGACATGAAACAGACATCACAATATTGTGGCTGTGGTGGCTCTGGGGTCAAGAAAATGGAATGTCACATAACTTTGGACAAGACCTGGAAGGGGACTGACCATTCAGTCTTGCTTGAGCCTAAGGAACTAGCTGAACTGGTGCCATCTATCTACCATATGGATGGGTGTTGAGCTTCCCCACCAAGCAGCAGAAAGCACCATTGTAACAGTGGGCATGCTCACTGTGAATGTGGGTGAGCCCAGGGTTAATCCCCTGAAAAAACCATTAATCTAATGGCCAAGAACGTTCCGCTCACTGTTGAAAAAGAGGACACCACTTAGGAGATGAAATAGAAAATTATGGAAAGAAAATTAAGTCTTAAAATAAAAGAAAGTATAATTTGGGACATTGGCAACATGGTACAGGAATAAGACTGGGGCACAGTATGAGGTAAGAGCACAGAAGAAAAAACTCTTATTGTTTGACCTACAGGTGGGGCAATGGGTAGGATAAAATAAATAGAGCAAAAAGTATGTTAATTTATAAATAAGACCTAAATCAGCGAGAATTTTACTGGTTGTTTCCTGAACAAATTCTTTTTATTATTAGTTCTGTTGGGAGACAGAGGTGGTAAATTGCCAAATGGATTATTTAGAGATAAGAGCAGGAACTTTTGTATCAACTTGATGTGAGTTTTCTTTGTTGATTATTAGTTCTCTGATACTCAAAGCTCTTGTATAGAAAACATAGTCTACTTTATGGGAGTGATGTGAAGATTAAATCAGTCAGATGATATATGTGAAAAGTCCATCCATCCCTGATCACAGGTCATGCTCTAAAAATGTTAGTTAATGTTCTCTGTGAAATAGAGGAAATGAAATGCTAGTGGACAGGAAAAGAGAATAGCTACTCTCTAGCCAGAGCAGAAGGATGGAGTGACAATTGATTTGGCACAGAGAGCAGTTTTTATGGTTCACAGACCCCCTCTATCTTCAACCAAGAGAAATGGTTGCCCATTGCACAGATAGTAAACTAATAAAATATTTCATGAATTTCTTACCTAGAGTTGAGGCGTTCTTAACTCTGTAACTGACTCTTTTAGTTATAGAGATATTTAGGGGAACTCAGAGATTACAAAGGCAAACCAACATAGAAAATTTTATAGGCAAACAAAATATGTTAAAGTGTTTTCTATTATATGATTGTTAATTTACTTAAGAGAAGTAAATAGAAGATTGATGATCAGAGACAAAGAATTTTTTAAACCCTTTACAAACTGTATAACTCATTTCCGAACAGCAAGGACTACACTGTGAAACACCCTTTTCAGAGATCTTTTCACTTCCTTGTTCCTTAAGGAATAAATTAGTGAGTTTAACATGGGTGAAACAATATTATTTAATATTTGAACCACAGTACCAAGCAGGGGGTTGGGTGTGCCCTGCAGATAGATGATGATCACAGGTCCATAGGCACAGAGGATTGCAGTGAGGTGAGCACTGCATGTGGAGAAAGCTTTCTGCCTCCCCTCTGCTGAATGGATTCTTAGGATGGCAATCCCAATATGAACATAGGAGACACAAACACTGAATAAAAGCATTAGAGCCAGAAAGCCAACGTTAATTGAACTGACTTTCCGAGCTAAGAAGCTGTCAGTGCAAGCCAAGGGTAAAACTTCAGGAATGTCACAGAAGAAATAGTCCACATGGTTGGGGCCACAGTAGATTAATTTAAAGGTCAATGAGGTCAGGATGGTGGCATGAAGACACCCCACCAATCCAGCTACCATGACCAAGCTGACACAGACTCCAAGTTTCATGATGAGCATGTATCTCAGTGGGTGACAGATGGCAACAAAACGATCATAGGACATCACAGAATAGAGGCATCCTTCACTAGATCCCAGAAAATTATAGAAGAAGAGCTGTGCAACACATCCCTTATAAGAGATGGTATGGCTGTGGCCAGAGAGATAAAGTAGCATCTTGGGACAGGTTACTGAAGGAAATGACATGTCAAAAATGGATAGAAGTCCCAAGAAGAAATACATGGGGGTATGAAGGGTAGAAGAAGAAATGATTGCTATAAATATGAGCAAATTTCCAAATAGGGTAAAGCTATAGATGAATAAGAAGATGACAAAGAGCACAGTCTCCAGTCCTTCTGTCTGAGGTATCCCTAACAGAATGAACTCATCCACCAATGTGTGATTTCTCATGCTGCTGGAAATGTGCTCTTGATAGAAAGACAAGAGTCAAGAGAACATAAAGGTGGATGCTAATTATAAATGCATACCAGTACTTTATTTCTTACCATTGTTTTCTTAAATGTAGAGATGTTATCTTTCTGTTCGTTGTTACAAAAGAATACCAAGGAATACCAAAACCAGATAAATTGTAAAGAATAAAAGCTGTTCAGTTTGCAGTTCTGCAGATGTGTAGTCGAGCTGCCACAGGTAGTGAAGGCCTTCTTTCAGGTACTGCCTGTATGCAGCACCTTTACTGGTGGCAGAAAAAGACATCATGAAGGAAGTAGGCAGTACCAGAGAAACAGTGAAATTGGCTTTTGTATCTGACGCATGCAGGTGATAACCCATTTACACATTAATCAATTATTTCATGAATGGGTTGATCCATTCATCTGGGTAGCTCGCTCATGACTAATCGCTTTTCAAAGGTCTTTTCTGGTCTCATTTGTTAATTCCTCATAATAGAAATGAAATTTAAATATGAATTTTGGTAGGACTTTCACATTACACACAAATATGTTGAAATTAGGAATTGTGAATTTTGTTAAAAATACTTAAGGGCTAGTAAAGCATATGTATGCCTTTATATCTAGTAATATTATATTACTTCATGGTTATTGATACAAAGTTAGATGAACTATAACATGGTGAAAAATGGATTCTTTAAGAGAACAAAGATCTCAGTACCAAACAGATGAACATAATTAGGATCCATAACCCATTGTATATACTGAATGCTTTATTATAAATCAACCTGGAATCTCATTCCCTTGATTCCTTTTCAGAGAATTTGCGGTTTCTCAGAGATATCATCAAATACTGTGAACATTCATCAAGTCAATTTGGGCACCCACACCTCTAGTTAGAACAATGAATTTTAGTTTCTCTTTCCCCTCTCTATGCTGCTCTATGCTAGTTGTTTTATTTTAATCAAAGAAGGTGAGTAATCATGCTGAGAACTGGAAACTACCTCTGGCTATGTGTGTCATAGGTTATCTATTACAACGTTTGCATTTAAAGTGTCCTGGGAATCATCCAAGAAGAGATGATCTTTCCATTTGTAGTTTTACTTTTGTGGTCTGGTTTTGGAGATGCAAAGTATATAAAATTTGTACAATTATAATTGTTCTGACCTCTAATTTTATTACCTGTTTAATTACTATGATTCTCCTTTAAAGTTATAGTTATTAATCGATATTTTCTGTTCTATAAATTTGAAGCAGTAGTATAAAGTCAATACTAACCGTACATGCACAAGAAATTCTGATGGAATTGATTCCAGGTTGTTGAGGTCTATTAAATACTATAATGTGCCCTTGAATCTGCAGCATTTAACACAGTGCCTGTTGAATAGCCACATTTAAATACTGAGTCAATAAAAAGTTGGAAATTAATTTGTGGATATTCTCTGTATGTTCTATGAAGAGGCCATGTCCATTCTTGTTCATCACTCTGTCTCTAGGACTTAGGAAATAGTAAGACCAAATTAATAAATATATTTATTAGGTATTACTATTTATTTTTTAATCCATTTTCAAATTCTGTGACATGATTACTTTTATCCTCAGACTATTTTAAGCCCTTTTAAAATGATTCTAAAAAGTAATAGTTGCATAGAACTTAGTTTTGGCTTCAAATTCCATTATAATGAAAGAAATTTGGAATTCACAGGAACAGAGAGACTCTAAAATTTCTGGTAATTGATTATTATCTGTGACTGGAGGGAAAAATGTAAATCATTGGTTGGAGTAAATGATTTTAAAAGAAAATGGACATCTCTGAGCATAGGGAAAATGCAGAAGTCATGAATAATAGACAACTCTGCAACAAAAGGAAAATGATGTGTATAAGAACTAATATACAAATGCCTTAAATAACAAAATGATTCAACATTCATAGGTGCTATATTTAGGTGATACTTTTTTCTTAAAGTGATAATAAATGTACCACAATTTACTATTGCAATTGCTTTATTTCATCATTTTCATGTCTCAAGCCTATTGAGACTGTTTGCATTTTGGGTTCTGTTGTGTTTCTTGTTTGAAGAAAACCAGTGTTCTTACTTTGTTCTTCTGGATTATTGTTGTCTGTTTTCCATGGAGCATGATCTGGATTTGCAGCCAGTTTGCACTTGTGCTGCCTGCAGAAGAGAATTCTTTACCACTGGGCGGCTCTAGTGCTCTGGATAGCTTTCCCTTTGCAGGTCTCCTAGGAGGTTTCTGAACAATTCAGTTTAGGCTTAATGAGCAGTCAGAGCATAATAATTAACTGCCATGGAGATATTTTTCCACATTCCTAGGAAAATATGCTTAATAATATGGCACAGAAAAATAAAGGATAAAATATGTGACCTTTAAACAATGAAAATGTAGGGGATAAATACAAAGAGTACCATTAGAAATTGGAAATGAAATCAAGTTAGTGAGAAAATATCCTTGAAAATGTGGGATGTTCCTGTAATTGTACTTGATATATGGTGAGTCCTCGCTAAATGCTTGATATTAGCTAACTCAGAAAATATTTCCCTCCTGGAATTGCTGTAAAGATTAGATACGATGATCATCAGGATACACTTTGGAAATGATAGCGAATTCTATTGTTATTTGCCTGGTGGAGAGGAGACAATGGGGGACAATGATAGGAAAAGACAAGATTTTTAAAGCGGTAGACTTGGAATTAAATCTCTGCTGATGGTTGCTTAACTTTCTGTGACTTTGCTATACCTTCAGATTACTTACCTCTGACACAGGGCTAGTGTTATTGTCTACAAGTAGGATAATGTCGTATGAAGCAACCTTTACATTTTTCAGGTTCCCAGCAACTGTTATTTACTCCTTCAATCTTATAATGTCCTGGTTTAATACTAGCACAATCATAGGTAACACTAAATAACTCATTTTGGGAAAGTTTAGAAAATATCCTTGGACTCTCATGGAGAGTGCTGAATTTTGCCGATATTCAAAAATAAGTGAGGGTGAGTACCATGGCTTAAGTGCCTGCTGCATCCTTCACGTCCACATTTAAGCACCTTTCCAAACTCAAAATAGAGTGAATTATGGATTATGCTCACACCTAATGTCAGTGATGGTCAGGGGAAACATGAGTCATATTGCTGTAGATTCTAAAGCAATGCAAACATGATTTCAATAAGATTAAAAGTCAAAACAAAAAAGCCTATGAAGAACATCTCTTGAAAATGACATTACAGACAGATTTTTATTTTTCACTATCTTATGATTTTTACTGTTTTGTATTTATATTTCAAGTGTCATTTAAAAATATAAATTCTTCCCACTGTGTCTATATCCTCCACTAGAGAGGTTGATGGGTATCATAGACACATGGAACTAAGAATAATAATTCAAACAGTAATTTAGAGTCACATCCATAATAGAAGTAGAGTAAGCTTTCCTGGAAATCTTTGTCTCGGAAGAAGACAACATGGCATATTCAAAAGAACTGGTATTAGAAACCTAGACCAAACTTCAAGTTTTGAATTTTGGTGGAGTGACTGTGGGCCAGTAGTTAATATTCTTTGAACTTCAGCTTCTCTCCTTTAAAGAAGCAGAAAGCATTTCCTGCACAGTAGCCTCAAACTTAACTACTGAGTTAAAATTTGTTATTCCAAATAGTTAAATTTGTTATTTAACTTTTGAGATTAAGGGCCTAAATAATGAATGCAGAATAATAGCAGTAAAATAACAAAAGTTCCAGCCACACTGCTGAATAGTCTCCTTAGTTTATCACTGCTCATTGGTGTCCCAGAAATCTGTATTTTAACAACCACCACTGTAACTATGTTCCTTAAACATGTAGGATATTCTCATAATTATGGTTAGAGTTAGTATAAAGATTTAATATGGTAACATTTCTGAAACTTTTTACACACTATCATATGGAATCTAAAGGGTCATTATGATTATATATATTATAATATAAAGATCCATACTGCAAATTTGGGAAGTCACCTGCATAGTGATGACAGTCAATGACTTATGTTCAAATGAGATCACTCAGAGAGACTGAGTTCAGTCAAGTCAAAAATAGAACTGGAGCACAAACCTTGAGAAACATTACATTTCAGGAATAGGTGAATGAAAGCCATTCTACAAGAAATTATATATATATTCCTCAGAGACTCAAGAGAGTGTCTTTTACATATCTTTGTCTCATAAATATTATTATTTTCTCCATTTCAATGAATATGCACAACTAAGTTTTATTACTAAGCCACTGTGTGGTGCTTGGAACATGAGAAATGTTAAATTAATTGATAATAAAGAAAAGAAGAATAAAGGATTGCATGCCCCCATTTCCCAAGTCTCTAGAGTGAGGGGGAAAAGTAAAACTTGAGAAAGAGGTCAGAAGCTTTGAGTACTTACGTAACCAAAGGGGTCATGAATGATTCTGAGAAGGAAAACAGATGTTTCCCCCTGCGTTTTATCTTTAGTTTCTTCCAGAGTTGAGGGACTCTCCTTCCCAAACTTCTATCTTCCCAAATGTCATAGGACTGTGCTTGGGTTCTCTAGATACAAATCTTAAGTAGTCTTCTTTTTCATTCAGAATCACAGAGAGTCACCTAGGGTGATTGTCTTAGTTAGTGGAAATAACATGAACTCCTGCTTTCCTGGGACTTTAAATGGCCTCATGGTCCCTCTGGAGCCTCATGCTGACTTGGGGAACAGGAGCCCTCTGAGCATAGGAAACAATTAAATGCTGATTGGTGAGATAGTTTCTGAGTTACAAAGTAGTACACGGCAATCAATTTGTAAATTCCTCCTGACCCACTCTTTTTTTCTGTTTTAGGTAGATATCTATTGATCCCTTTTTAGGGGGTCTTTGATTTATAGTCCTCAATGACTTGACCTGTGTATCTGCCATTTTTCCAGTTTCTACCCATTCATTTTTCTCTTGTGATTTCTTGATTCCCACTGACCAGACTTTATTCAAAATGTTAAGCCAATTTAAGGGAACTTAGGAATGTCTTTATTTTGAATAAGTGTGGACTTGGTTCAACTTGGGATTCTTATTAGTATGAAAAGAATGTATGAACCAATATTGAATAATACAGAGATGTTTCTATCAACAACAGAACATGGCATATCTATGATGGTAGTCCTATAAAAATTATCATGGAGTTGAAAAATTCCTATTTCCTACTGATATCATAACCATCATAACATCATAACATAGAGCATTGAGCATTGTTTGTTTGTCTTAATGCTCATGTTAAAAAAGGAAAACCTATCATGTTGCCAGTCATGTGCAAGTGTAGAGCATGAAATTCTGTAAGGTACATAATACTTGACAGTGATAATAAACTATGCTGTTTATATGTATTGACTATGCTATACTTTTTTTGGTTTGTTTGTTCTGAGATTGAACCCAGGGATTCACCCTTACATGGCAAGTCTCTACTACTTGAGTCATGCCTCCAGTCCTTTTGCTTGTATTTTGCTTTTGAGATAGAATCTCCCTAACTTTACCTTGGCTGACTTTGAACTCACTATTCTTTCTCTGCCTCCCAAGTAGCTGAGATTACAGGCATACACCACCAGGGTTGGCTGTACTATGCCCTTTTATTGTTGAATTAGATTGTACTTCATCAATTTATTTAACAACCACAAAAAAAAAAATACTGTTGAGTGTGCTGGTGCATGCCTAAAATCTCACCACTCACCAGGCAGATGCACATAGGGAATTTCAGGCCAACCTGGGCTACTAGAATATATAGGAAGACACTGTCTCAAACAAAAAGAAAACAAACAAGAAACTCACTGTGAAACAATAGGCCACAATGTGACAACAGTAGCATGGTTACAGCATCTCTTCATTTCATCAAGAGGCTGTGTGGAGTGCCTGCAACATACCACCTAGGTCTGTGTAAGTACTCTGTGATGTTCACACAATGAAGAAATTGCCTAACCACATTTTTCATGTCTTCATGTAGATAAGAATGCTTGATGGTATTTTGTTTCCTCTAAGAACTTGGGAACCATATGTTTTCTTATTGCTCATTTATGTATTTATTGAATAATTTAATCCATTATAAGGTCTAGTTGAGTAAGGGTATATTTGTCTGTTGTTTTTATTACAATAATAACAATGTGCAGAATAGAGCCTTGCAAATATATTTATATATATACATATGTTTGTATAAATAAATACATATTATTACATATAAAACACTAAATAGTGTTTCTCTTTCTAAAATTTCATCATTTAACTCATTTCACATTTTATGTGAAAAGACTGAAACTACTCTGTTTAAACAAACTATGAGTGAACAGAAAAAATCCATTCATGCTTTAAAATAACCACAAAGGTCTTTTTAATTGTATATATTATACCAGGCTCAGGGCTATTCACATAATTGTCCTTTGGATAACCAGCATTTTATGTGCATTTCCTAACTCAGCTCCTGCAATCAAGCTGTCATATCTTGTCTGTGGCACCCAACAAGTCCTAAGCCTTTATTACAGCCAGATCAGAGGGTGAACTCTGTTCACCTTTCCAGAATCTCCCTTTTGCTTCCCAGACAATTCAGAAAATAAGGAAAAGTTTTAGGGGTGAGAAACAATGCCAGATATGGTTTCTACCCATGGAAAAGGATCATTGCTTTTCACAATTGGTTTGGTATAGATTAGAAACCTATTTCTAGACCAGGCACCAGTGTGGGAGGCTGAGATTAGGAGGACTGCAGTTTGAAACCAACCCTGGCAAATAATTTGTAAGAGCTTATCTTGAAAATACCCAACACAAAAAAGGGGTTGGGAGACTGGTTCAATGGTAGAGCGCTTGCCTAGCAGGAGAAAAGTCCTGAGTTCAAACCTTAATACCTCCAAAACAAAACACAACAAAAATCTGTTTTTAGAGCCTGGTATTGGTAAAAATAAAATTTGTGCTTACATTGTTCTTTACTGTATATGTGCATATACATTTATGTATAGACTTTCACATCCATTAAGATCCATTAGATCTTAAAAACAAGCCAGTGCGGTTTTCTTCATTTTATACTTGCAAGAACAAAAAATTGGGGAAGAAAAAAATTTCCACAACATATAAAATGACATCGACCAGAATCAAGCTGACTTTTCTATACAAAATTGTTATTTTTTTCAAACAGACTCTCAAAAGTGACTGTGACTTTCTTTAAGCTCCAGATTTAACTGGTCATTTGGAAATAGTATAAAGCAAAGTTGACAGCGTCCACTGTTCTTTAGCAAGGAAAATGATTATAAATATTCTCAGGTACTTACATTGTTGACTCAAACACTTGGTTTTAGCATCCAGATAAAATACTCCTGAGTGACCCATGCCAGGAAGAGCGGGGTCCTTAGTGACCAAATGTTGTTCTATTAAAGTAGAAGTGTATGCCTGCCCTGTCTCTGGGTATAATATGAAGACAGAACACTCAAATTAGAGATGAAGAGTCAATGATAGAATATCCATAAAATTTATGTTAGTAGGGGCTAGCACAAAGGAAGCCCTTGGTTATTACAGAAGCATGCAGTTTTTTGTATTGTTTTTACTGTTGGAGCATTTCTCCTTGAAAAATAAATCCTTGCCTATCCTCTAATTGCACTTTTGCAGAGGCCAGGAAGAGGAAAAATGCAAAGGTATTAAAGCTGAAGACATTTCCTTCCATGCAGAGAAAAGATGCTCTAATATTTGCTTAAGAATTTTCAGTTGGTCCCTTAGTCAGATAGTTGCTACTTTATAACTGGTCCCTAGAAGGAGGCGGGGTCTTCCAGGAAATATCTACTGCAGCTGTTTTCACTTTGCAGTGTGACTCAGAGCACTGAGGATTTCAGAAGGTGAGTGACAGAGCTTCCCACACTGGGGAAGAGGATTCCAATCCCTTCATCCTGAAGAATTGAGAGCTTAGCATTCTATCTTCTTTCCTCAATGTAGTCTTTGAATCTATTGGGACTTATTCTAACTGCAAGCCCAAGGGGTGGAGAATTAGACCTGGTATATTACCCTAGGGATTCCTGCAAGTTCTGCAGTTTGGCAGAAATCTTGGTGGTGGTGGTGGGGAGGAGGGATTGCAGAGAACATTTAAATACTCCTGAGTGACCCATGCCAGGAAGAGTGGGGTCCTAATAATTTCAAGGACCTTCTCTCTCTCTCTCTCTCTCTCTCTCTCTGTGTGTGTGTGTGTGTGTGTGTGTGTGTCTCATTGATGTTTTTCTCAATTTTATGTATGTTTGTACTGTAGAAATGCTTTAGGTCTCCACCCAAATCTTTTATCCAGAAATTTGAGACTGATGCTGTTCTTTTTGTAAATACCTGGGCAATGGAAAAATTAAGGACTGAAAATGTAGAGTTTAAATCACTGTTTCTTTGAAAGCTAAATCTCCTCTTTGGTTCCATCCCAGGCTCATCACTTTTTCCCTGCAACAAGCTGCAGGGTGTGACCAGCTGCTCCACTCATTCCCCCACCCTCTCCCTGCCTATGACTGAGCTATTCAGAGCCCTGACTCCTGCATTCCAGAGGGTCTACACCACAGGCAGATCCCTAGGCCAGTGAGAAGCCCTCCAACCACCCAGCTTCCTCAGATCTAAAGCTTTGCACTTGGTCACTTCAGGGGCTGCCCTACCCAAAGTATTGCTAGGCACCTTTCTGGAATTCCATCCTGAGACAGAAGTAATTTTGACACAAACAAATTCTGTTTGTACTGGGCAGAGTGAGGGAGAGGGTGCAGCATCATAAATTTCCCTCCATGTGGGATTGGTTCTTGATATAGAATCTGGAAATAAAGATTGTTTCTTTGTAGGAGATCCCAGTTTGCCTCTCTCTCTTCTGATAGCCGTCCTTGGTGAGTATTCCCCAGCTTGAGAGCTCTGTCTGCCTGACAGGATCCTTCAGCTGCTTTGCTCCTATGAGAGTCCCCCCTGTTTTAAGCTTCCTGCTGGTGTTATTAGAAATTCTTTCCCAGCTCCAGCCTCTTCTCCTGGCCCCATTAATTGGTCTTCATGGAGGCTCTTTTCCTCAGCATGGTTTCCTCTCCCTTCACCTTACTACTTTCTGTGTTGCTGTCAAAGCAGGAACTTTTCACCACATTCAGTGTTTATTCAATTGCTCAGTATAACAGGTGTGGAATGATGAGCCTGAATGAATATGCGTGCAGATTTGTGGAAGGGGGGCTGGAATATCAAGTGTGTGATCAGTATGGACATTGCTTTTTGGGGTGAGAGAGGGCAAGGTTGAACTCATGACCTCATGAGTGCTAGGCAAATGTTCTACTACTGAGCCACATTCCCATCCCTGCAGTGAGTTTTAATTGTGATTGGACTGAGTTAGGTGGCCTGGAAATAGTTCTGTCAAAAACCTCAGATGGAATTTTTCTAGAAAGGAAAGCTGTCTTGTCAAGAGCCCTTGTTTCTCTGGCCTATTTATCCCAAGGAAGGTGGGGTTTCCAGTGACTCATCTGCCTCTGAGTCTCTAGATAAGCACATGAGTGTCATTTTTCTTCAGCTTTCTCTATGCTCCAAATAATGACATTTCCACTTGCTAAGGTGGGTTTTAAGTGAAAAGTTCCCTGTTGGTGCTGGAGTTTGCAGCTTTGCTCATACTTTGTCAGAAGAGGAGAGACAAATTAGCACCCAGAATTCAGTTCACAATGGTTCCAGAATAGCTTCTAGTGCCAGTAGGGTCCATCAATAGAATGAAACTCACCTATTGACTCCCTGAATAAAATAATAATGCAAATTATAACTTAAATACATAAAATCTAAATGTTTATTTCCTTATCATATGCTATGGTTTGCCAAAGATTATAAAAAAACCCGGAAAGTACATTTAGGAACTCCAGATTTAAAATAGAGAGCATATTGAAAACATAATATTTACATACATTAGAAAACTTGCACACAGAAAAGAAATAGTGGTTTGTTTCAGTTCTCAGCTCCAAAAGAAAAATCACAAGGTAAAATCAGAGAACAGGTCTTGCCTGGGGGGGGAGGGGTGGTTGGTATCAGTGGAAGTGGGGAGGAGGTGGGGAAAGGGTATGGGAGGGTGAATATGGTATAAATACTGTGTACACAGGTATGTAAATGGAAAAATGATACCTGTTGAAACAGTTCCAGGAGTGGGGGGAGGGAGGAAAAAGGGGAATGGTGGAGTGGGTCAATTCAAGCATGATATATTTGATATATTTTAAGAACTTTTGTAAATGCCACACTGTTCCCCCACACAGTACAACAATAAAAAATAGAACCTGGAACAGAAAATAAAATAAAATAAAAATAAATGCCAAAAAAAGAAAACCACAAGGTAAAGTAGTATGATATAAGAATCCATTTTGAATTACACAGCTTCTTACATGCAGGTATTCTGAATAGCATGATCATGATCAAAGTGAAAAGCAGCAGAGGCTTATTAATAATAGTAACAAAGACAACAAGAGCAATACTGATCTCAGTTTTTATTGACTAAATGTCTTATGGGGCCAGGCCCTCTAGGAACTTCACATATATTATTTCATGGGGGATATGGAAGTAGTACGGTTTATAGGTTAGAAAGACTATACTGAGGTTCTGAAAGGTTAAGATTATACCTATCAATATACCCAAGCAGGGGTGCATTAAATCCACTTTTGAAAAAGTGCAATTTGTATAAGAAACAGTCTCACAGTGTTTGAAAAATTTCCTGTTCAGTGGGTACACAGTGACTCTTACAGCCTGAGGTACTAGTTAAATAGGAACCCTATTATTAGCATCTTTATCCACTTTTACCTTTCTTCCGTCCAGCTGAAACACTATGCCTGAATTATTCTTGTGCCAGAGAGAAGCACATAAGGTGGTGATAGTTAAGTAGATAACTCCCTACCCGTCCTTCTGCTCACAGTGTATTTTTTCCACAGAAATTCTGTGCCACCATGGTGCGTGCCTGTGGCCTACTCACTGGCCAAGACAAACCAGGTAAGCCTGATTCATGAGTCTTACTTGCCTGGGTATCTGGCACCTAGCATAGTTCCTGGCCTGAGAGAGGCAGTCTACAAAAGCTTGTTGAACTCCTGAACCCTGTCTCACCTCAGTGGCATTGAAAAGCATCTCTGTGATGTTATCCATCAATGAGTTTGTGGCTGGTGTGTCTGCAACCTTAAACTATGAGAATGAGGAGAAAGTCCCTTTGGAGGCCTTCTTCGTATTCCCCATGGATGAAGACTCTGCTGTCTTTACTTTTGAGGCCTTGGTGGATGGAAAGAAAATTGTGGCAGAATTACAGGACAAGATAAAGGTATTGTGGTTGAGTACATTACATCTTCCCTTTCTATTTCCTTAATGAATACTCCTTAAATCTCTGCCAAATAGAATGTCTCAAAGATTCTGGTGTTGAAAGCTCTTTCTTGAACTACTTTCTTTTAACTTCTACCTTCCTGAAATCATTTGAGATGGTGAGAAAAATTTAGAAGCATTCAGAATATAGCTGTGAACTTGACAAGAACCATTACAGTCTCCCTCCCCAATAGTCCTGCTTTTCTGCACTACTTGTTTCTTCATCTGTTGTCACATTTTTCCTTTCTACCCATCATCCTACTCTTCTTAGGCCCACAGCAAATATGAGGATGCCCTTGCCCAGGGCTACCAGGCCTACTTACTGGAAGAGGATGCATGCTCTAGGGATGTCTTCCGTTGCAATGTGGGGAACCTCCAGCCTGGGTCAAAGGTGGCACTCACACTGAGGTATGTGCAGGAGCTGCCACTGGAAGCAGATGGGGCCCTGCGCTATGTGCTCCCAGCTATCCTGAATCCTAGATACCATCTCTCTGGTGAGTCTTTCTTTCCCTCTGAGTTCTAGTGGTATTATAATTTCGGAAATCCCCATAAATTTATAAATGTGCTAAAAAGTGTTGCCAAGGAAAACAGAACTAAGGTAAATTTTTGTAGATAGGACAGAAGACAGTTGCCTGGATATGAAGACCCCTATAGTCGCTTTAGAGGACCTGCCCTATACACTCAGCATGGATGCCACCATCACTTCCCAGCATGGCATTGAGAGGGTCCAATCCAACTGCCCCTTGCATCCTATTTTGTACCATGGCAATGATAAGACTTCTGCTCAGGTAATCCATAAGAGGTATTATTGTTGCCAGAACATCTGTTCCTTGGGTCTTGTCCTAGTTTTCATACAGCCCTTCCTAGAATTTTCTAACTTTCCCTGTTAACCTAGAGGGAGTTATGCTGTGTTCTTTGCCCACCCTGTTTAAGATCCAGATTCTTCTAGTTTACCTCTGCCCCTGATCATGCTCATTGTGGAAGAAGTCTGTAGACCTCAGCTCTGACCTCAGCCCTAAGAAGCAAACAGTGACAATTCCAATGTGGCTCCTTTACTGGTTCCCACTTCAGGTTTCCTTGGCTGAAGGACACAAGTTTGATCAGGACGTTGAGTTCCTGATTTACTACAGTGAGGTGCACAGCCCCAGTGTAGCTGTGGAGATGGGGATGCCTGACATGAATCCAGGTATTGGCTTCTCCCTTTGTAGTCACTTGCTAGGATGCAACTCTGCTTTGAAAATGCTCTCATATTATTCTCACTTTTCTTTCCCACTATCCAGGATCCAGTGAACATGCATGTGAAATATGAATTAGTTTCCAGTATAGCATGCAAAAATGATTAGGTGCTTATGGCTTGTAGGAAAATTGGTTGAAGGACATGAGCCAATGTCCTTCAATAAGAGAAAACACATCCAGCTATAAACATGTGACTGTGATCAGTCTTGGCAAAGATGCAAATAAAAAACACTCATGTAACATTTTCCCTTTCAAAGGATTAAAAATTTCTGATAATGTTGTATGTTTTAAAAGATGTGGTCAATTTGCCTTCTCACAGAACACTTGAAGCAAAATAATTTGGTATCAGCCTTTTCAAGAGAATTCTCACCATATGTATTAAAATAAATATTCTCCTTGCTGATTCCACTTTTTGGAATCTTACATTAGAAAACAAATCTTAAGGTGAATAGGGATATTCAGTGGATGCTCTCTATTATTTTAATGATATGAAATGTTAGTAAGCTATCAAAATAACCTATATATTAGGAGAAAACATTTAAAAATGAAGAAAATATGCCAGTAGTGATTCTGAATTTAACACTAAGTTTAGTTTCTTAATCTTTTTTTATTCAATAAATAAGTTTTAATGACTGATTTACATATCTACATGTAATTTCACCTGCAGTTCATTCTTTGTTTTTGTTCATGATAAATATAAGTAATAAAATTTAATATTTTGCCTGTTTTGAAGTGTGCACATTACTGTGTCTTTTAGTAAATCATATTGTGCAACAATCACCGCTGTCCATCTTTAAAACTTTTTTATCTTGTCCTAGGTTTTCAATTTCTAAGACTAAATTCAGCTTCCTAATAAGATTAAGTTGCTTACTTACTTTTAGTGTATCTTATTTTCTAAATTTACTGAATATATATGTACTTTTCCTTGTAATTAAAATTGGCATAGCACTTGTCAATTTTTTGCTCTCTTAAGCCATCCCAGGCTGCCAATCACTGTGATGCTGGAACTGTCAGGCTTGGCAGGAGGTACATTGCTACCTTTTTCACATTTTCCACTTTGGTGTGGTGTAAGCATCCCTGGGAGCAGCAAGATTCACAGTGGGCTTAGGCTGTTGCTTCCATAACTACAACTGCTATGATGACATTTCCCTGAATTTGGTTTTCCATAGCCCATCCCAGACTCACATGGCAAATGATTGGTCAAAGCATCTTCATCCTGAGCTCACAAGTAGGCACTATGAGTTTGTCCATAGTGTTCATCCAGCTTTTCTTGGAGACAGCTGTCCACACTGAGGTCACTGTGGGTTTCTCAGCCTGCACCATGTTTGCTATAAACAGGCTCCCCTCCTATGGAGATCTGTGCTTTGTCTTTGTTCTTTAGTAACTTCTTTTTGTCCCTTATTTATAGTGAAATCCTTCTTGGATACCCGTGAAATACTCCAGCCATGAGCTAGTCTTTATTCAGGAATGTTTTAAACCACAGAAAGAAGGTTTCATAATTTTGGATTTCAAAAGACAAGGGCAGAGATCTCAGTTTCTTTCCCTTGGCCTCATGCAGATTTTCTCATCTCCTCCCTGTGACCAGCTCTGTAGACCACAGGGGTACACACAGGGGACCTTCATCACTCTTGTGAATTTCCTCTAGCAGGATGCTCAAGTCTGACTTCCACATGACTTGCTGTCCTCCTATAAGCAAATGACAACCCAAAGTGTCAGTTTGACTTACTAAAACCTTTAGTGTTATGTCACATGAAACATGCCACTACATGGCAAAAACACAAGCCATTATTTAAAATGGAAGTACTTACTATATTAAGAATGTGATGACTATAAAATTACATTTACAATTTAATGAAAAAATATATAAAAATTGAGTCAGACAAACTTAATTAAATTATTAAGAGCTTAATCTGAGTTCAGCCCACAAATAAGTCCTTTAATTGTATTATATACTCAAACCTTAACATAATTTATATAGTATCTATATAAATTATATATATATATTTATATATATATAAATATATATATTATCTATATATACTATAGTATATATACTATATTTATATAGTATCTATTACTGTTCACAGGAGGAAACTGAGGCTAACAAGGAGAGGTGCTGAAAAGGTGAAATGGCACATTTAAAAACTAGGAACCTGAGGTTTGTGGAGGGGAAATAATTTGAGTCAACCTGAAAGATTAGAATATAATATATTACATATACAGAGAGCTTACAAGGGACCTGGCCTCTTCTGAACACTTCAGATAGATTAACTCCCAGCGTTATTCTGGCAGCCCTTCTGACTTCTCCACATTGCCAGTCCTATTATAACCAGCTGTTTTTCAGTGTGGAAAGGAATCTATATTACACATCAAAAATGCTACCTTGCATTGAACACCCAGAAATTTGGATTGTGCAAATCTTATTTTCTGACTAGAGTTCTTTCAAATGTCTTCTGTTTATCACCCACTTTTTTAAGTAGCCTATTTGATGATTGGAGTCTCTAATGGATAAGGGATCAAATAGAGCCCAGTTGTGTTCTCTGAGCTATTGTATAAGAGTTGTTATAGCCTTCTCATTAAATTACTATCTCTATACTAGTATTTTGATTGCAGAACCAAATTTCTTTTACTACTCAGAGAAAATCACAGTTATTATTCTGACAATTGATAGTTTAGTCTCCCTTGATCTCTCTTTCCCCATAGTTTAAATGAGGATCTTAGAGGTCAATGGGAATTCCAGTAGATTATTATTAAATGCTTCATAACCAAGATAGATGCAATTACGATAGTGTATATATTGCTTATCAATGCTTTTGTTAGTTGTCATCCTGAGAATTATACTCAGGAACATCACATTTTTAAAAAATTGCTATTGAAAAGGATGAGATGTTCAACTTGGGTCCATTTGGAGCTATAGGGCTGTTCTCCATCTGAGCTCTGAGACTGTCCTTGGAATGCAAGGTCATTTCAAGAATTAGATTGGGGCTCTGTGTTCTCTGATAGTTCTCTCACTCTGCCTCATCTCTCTCACTTTCAGGAAACACTGATTCTACTGCTGAAGAGTTTGCCTACAGTGATAAATTTCCCATCAATTTAGTTAGAAAAGAAGGTGTACATTTGCACATAAATTTGTCAGATTCCTTGGGCAAATGTTGGAAAGTGATTCCTAATGTGTCTCCCTCATTTGCTGAACTGCCAGGAAATTAGCATTCAGGGCTGATTACTATTATTGTTTGTGCCTGTGAACCTCTTCCCTCTTTCTTCTCTTTAATATCTGCTCTTCTTCTGTCACTTTTGTATGTTTGCAACTCACTTCCAGCCCTTTTCATGCAGATTAGGATCAAACCCAGGGTTTCAGATTTTCCCAGCTCAATATAGAGTCCACTACAATCAATTCTCTGGTTTCTTTTTCGGATTCTTGAGTTCCCTTTTGTCTTATAAGGTGTTTATCCTTTCTGTTTAGATTCTTTGATGGGAGATCCATGTGCAATGGTGAGTTTCTATCCAGATATCCCGGAAATTGAAGCATCAACAGCCTGTGGAGAATTTGTCTTCCTCATGGACCGTTCAGGAAGCATGCAGTGCCCCATGGGTAAACAGGATAGAACTCAGCTGCGCATAGATGCTGCCAAGGTAAAACCAACTTCTTTCTTTTCATGAGTCACATGCTCAAGTGTGGATGACTCTGAGGGGTTCAACTGGGTTCCATTTGGAGCTGTAGAGGTGTCCTCTGTCTGAGTTCTGAGGGGGTCCTTTGAATACAAGGTAGCATGAAGCAGGGTGACAGGCCACACCCTCAAGAGTTAATTTGGAGTCTGTGTGTCTGGGAAGGTCCTCTTACTCTGTCTCCTCATCCTCTCCCATCTGCAGGAAACACTGATTCTGCTGCTGAAAAGTTTGCCTATGGGCTGTTATTTCAACATCTATGGATTTGGATCTTCATATGAGGCATTCTTTCTGTAAGTTTCTGGAAAGACTATACAAAAGCCAAAAGGATACTTTAAAGAAAAGGAACATATTAATAAATGGGTTAGTGCAGAATTGATGTGGGCATTGGGGCAACCAATATGTGAGTCATCACCATGTAACCAGGGGTGCTTGTTTCTCCCAGGGAGAGTGTGAAGTATACTCAGAAAACAATGGAGGAGGCAGTGGAGAGAGTCAAGCTTATGTCAGCAGATCTAGGGGGCACTGAAATCTTAACACCACTCCAGGACATTTACAGGGGACCCTCCATCCCAGGCCACCCCCTTCAGGTAAGAACTCTCTCTTAAGAGAGAATTAACAGAAGGGACAGAGATAGTGAAAACTCCATTCAAGAATCTGTGATCCTGAGCCTCATTACAGGACTCTGAAAATGTGATACATAATTTAGTCTTCTATCATATACTAAAGAGAAATAAAGACAAGAAGCATTTGTTTTCTTTCTTAACTACATGCTACGGACCATGGAAGTTCTTTCATTGAGTGCCTAAATGGGTGCGTTTGGGGAGGGCCTGAAATCCCAGGAGTCTGGACAGATCTTATGCCAACATAGTGCAGGTGACAGTGGAATTCTAGGAAGCCCATAGTGGTTTGAAGAGGCATCAGGGCCTCTGGTGAAACACTTGGCCTCTTCAAAAGTGGATTCTGCTGTCTTAGCATGAACTTGTTAGAGGCTTAATGAATGTTTTCTTTCTTTGTACAGGTTTTTGTCTTCACAGATGGAGAAGTGACTGACACTTTTAGTGTAATTAAAGAAGTTAAGTTCAACAGCAAGAAACACAGGTATGAGGAGAATGTTATTTCCACTATAGGGACTGGATTGCAGTAGTGCCACCTGTATCTGTACCACATGATACCAGGGTTGACACTGCCTGCAGATGACAGAATGATTATAGAAGTTTAGTTTTACCAGCTGAAAATTCATTTTTTTATATAAAATTTAAAAGCAGCTTTCCAAGTAATATCACCAACATTAAAAATTCATTGACCTATATTTTCTTCAACCACAGTGGAAGAATTGAAGAGTAAATTATTTTTGACTATAAACATACTTAGAGACTTTAAACATATAAAAGTACACAAATCATAAATATCCATCCAAATGAACTATCATAGTGAATGCATTATGCAACCTGCATGCCAGTTCTAGAACTAGAATATCAGAACTCTCCCTCTATACTTTCATTATGCTTATTTGCAATCTCAACATATTTACAGCTCTCTTGATCTGTAACCCTGTGGGGTTTTTCTGCTTGTTTTTAGATTAAAATAAAAGAATTTTATGATGTGTTTTTAGTTCTGTATTTAGGTCTTTTTTTCTTTTTGTTTTTAATAGTGTGTTGAGATACAAATGTATTTTTCAGGCTGCTCTAATTACTTTTCTTTAGTATACAGTATTCTATCTAATGACTACAATAATTCATATTGATTCTAATATTTTTTCTCACACATGTGCATAATAGAGCCTCCATATCTGTGAGTTCTACATTCACATATTCAATATTTAAAAGACATATGCATTGGATTGATGATTGTAAGTAATCAGATGATTTAAATTTTACAGAAAGATATTTCTAAGTCACAGGCAAATGTTCTATACCATTTTATTTAAGGGATGTGAGCATCTGCATTTTTGTTAACAACATGAAGTCCTAAAATTGATCCCATTAGAATACCAGGAGACGACTGTATATGTATATATATATATATATATATATATATATATATATACTTATTTCTTTGATCTGGTTGAGTTTTGGGATTTCTGTGATTTGATAAATAGTACTCCAAAATATCACAGTAATTTAATTCACACCAGCTTTACAGAAGGTTTCCAATTTCCTCATTCTCTACCCAAAATGTGATAATATTTATCTCTAAATGATAGCCAGTTTTGGTTGTGTGAAGTGGCATCTCATTACGGTTTAGCTGACATTTTCTATGTAACTTGAGTTTACATGCCTTTTCACATTTACTGGCCTTTTAGATGTCCTCTTTTGTGATATATGTTCAAGGGTCTATCTTGTTTTTATTTGTTTTTTCTATTAGGTTGACTTCCTTTTCTTACTGAGTTATAGTTCATCTTATTGTCTGCATGAAAGCACATGCTGACCATGTATTCTTGAAACAGATGTTCTCTTTTCACTCTGACAGTTGCATCTTTTGAATAGTAGTTATTCCAATTTTAATGTAATTCTATCTTTATAGGGTTTTTTTAATATGATTAGTGCATTTTTGTTTCCTGAAAATTCTCTTTTGGTGATTTCAAGAAATTTTCTATTCTTTTATTATGTTGGGAAATTCAGCATGCCTATGATTTATTTTGTTCCTTGTGTGAGGTAGGGGTCATGTTTCATCATTTCCTTTGTAGATATTAAATGGATCTGGTACCACTTATGGGAAAGTGAATCCTTCCCTCACTGACATGCAGTGCCATGTTTGTCACAAGTTGGTATCCATACCTGTGTGGATTCTTTCAAGTTCTTCTGCTCCACTCATTGAACTATTTATCTAGAATGAGCCAGGACTACACCACATAAACTGATTCAGCTTTATGAGTAATCTTTGTGTCCAGAAGCCTAAATTTGAGTCTTTGTTCATTTTCAAGATTGCCTTAGTCATACTCAGCTCTTTGTATTTGTATTTTAAAATTAGCTCCTTTGGATATGAATTAGAATTGCATTGACCTTATTTGATCAGTTTTGGGGGGGTTTAATATTTGCTATACTGAGTATTATGGTGTACTTAGATAGTATGTTCATTCCTCGTGTCTATGGAGGATTGAGTGCAGGACAGTCCACAGATACTGAGATCTATGGATGTTAAAGACATAATTTTAATGTCATAATAACTGCATGTAATCTATACACATTCTCCTTAACACTTTACACTATCTCTATATCACTTACAATACCTAGTTCAGTGCAATGCTGTGTGACTAGTTACCATACTGTATCATTATGAGGAATGACAAGGGAGAACAATCTGCTTTTCCTGTAGCTCTTTGCGTTAAAAACACTTGAGAGAAAGCACAGATACCATGGCTTTCAAAAGTGAATATTGCACACTTATTTTCTAAGGACAAGAACATTTTGGTAAAGAATCACTGTAAAACTACATAATTAAGAACATTTAATGTTGAGATAATACTGTGGCTAACTACTGGCCATGTTTGAAAATTTTTCCAGTAATAAAGCTGGTAAACTAGTTTCTAGTTTTTGTTTTGTTCCAGGAAAAATATTTTATTTAATTTTTTTGACTCTTTAGTCTTTACTAGAATAGTTCCTCAGTTTTTCATTAAAAATCATGACACTGACATTTTGAGAGAGAGTGAGACACTTTTGTTTTTAAGAATCTCAGTTTGTGTTTGTCTAGGTTCATATTTAGGTTCCTGTTGAATATTTTTGGCAGAAGCATTCCTAAAATATAATTGGCCTGGTGATGTTATGTTTGAAACTTAGTTTAAGGGTAGTGTCTGAAAGACAGATTTTATCCTTTTAAACATCATGTTTTCCACAAATGTTTACTCAGTAGTTTCATCTTTCACAGATAACAATTGCCCAAATTTGTTGTTATTATCAGTGGTGAGAAAATGGTGATTTTCCTACATTTTTAGTTGGCAACCTCCAGTAAAGAAACACTTTTCTTGTTCCTTCTTTCCCACTTTCTTCTTTCCTTTTGTTGTATCAGTGTGTACTCTCAGATTCTTTCATTATTTAAATTACCTCACTGCTGTTACACTTAGATTCTCAAAACGTCCAGATTAGGACAGTGGCCCCTCTGTCTCCGTGGTTGAAGAATAGTTCCTCTCTTTCTGCACAAAATGTTTCACTTCACCCATCCTTCTTTCCCAACCTGCAGTCAGTCCTTTCTATGAGAAATCCTTTTCCTCTTAGTGAAAGTCTTCAATAGATATCAATACTTGTGCTCTACATGTGCTCTTTGCTTTGGGCTATTATTTGTTCTGCCTGTATTTCAGCTGACAAAATTGAAAAATATTTGGAGAAAATACTTCACTTTTTACTGATCTCCTGCTTCTAAGGTGATCACAGAGCATTCTTTCTCTTTTTCTTTGAGTCCATATTTGTGTCTTATTTCTTCCATGGTGACAAACCAAGTTTCACACAAAATCAGTAGATTTGCTTATGTCTTACTGTAACAATACATTCAAAATCAATCTGTGATGTTTTATAATTCTCTATGTAAAGATTTTCATTATTTTTCCCTATATATATATATATTACTTTGAATAGTACTTTTAAATATTTTTGTTTATTTCTGTATAGTGGTTTTTGCTTGCATTGACATTTTAATTCAATGATTTTGCTTAATTTAGATATTAATTCTAATGGTATATTTGAACTTTATTTTATTGTTATCCATTTATTGCTGTTATCTTGGTGGTACTAGGATTTTAACTCAGGGTTGCTCTACCACCTGAGCCACTCCTCCAGCCCTGAAGATTGTTTTAGATATTGTTTGGACAATTATGTTTTTAATAACTTGTTTTACTTTTTTCTTTTGGGAATTCTTACATTTTTATTTCTCTTCCTTTCCAAATTGACCCTCAGAGGGCTTCTTATACATACCTAAATAGAAGTGGTCATGACTGTCATCCTTAGCTAATTTTGGACTTCAAAAGGAACATTTTCAACATTATATCTTTAAGTGTAGATATAATGTCATTGTTTTTCTTTTGTAGTCATCCTTAGTCAGATTAAGGAAATTCCCTTTTATGTATATTTTCAGAGTTCTGTTTTGTCTGTTTGAATAACAAATGGCAGTTGAATTTCATCAAATATATACTTTTTAAACCATTGAGATGAATTTAAGATTTTTATACTTTGGTTGCACAGCAGAAGTGTGCTGGGCCCCTAAGTTTTCAATACTTTGTTCCTTTAATGTATATATTGTAATGATACTTGTTAAATATTAGATTAACCTTGCATTTTTGAAATAAACCCAAATTACTTTAGACACATTACCTCTATCATATATTTTAGGATTCAATTGGCTAATAATTACTGGGATTCAGAATCTATTTTCTTAGAAATAATGCATGAATTTTCTTTTCTTACAAATATCTTATTGGGTTTTTATATCAGTACTTGTTGGCAAAATAAAATGGGCTGCAAATGTTGCATTTTTTCCTTGTCTCGCTAAAAGATTTTCTTTCTTAAATGTTTATTAGAAGTTGTCATTGGGCTGTCTGGACAGGCACTGGGAGGAATTTTTTATTAACTATTCATGTTTTCCTATATTTTTGTTGTCATGGGAAAAAATATTTTATCTAAATTTTTTAATTTATTTGCATCAAATTATATATGACAGTACCTTACAATGTAATTTGATGTTGTAGAATCTATAGTGACATTACCTTCTTATTCTTGTCATTGTTCATTTTGCCTTCTCTGTTTCCTTTTTTGACATAGAAGTTTACCAACTTTAATAATCTTCAAAAATCTCTTTTTGGTTTGCTCATCTTCCCTACAGTATGATTTTTAAATTTTTATTAATATCTGTTCCTATCTTTATTATTTTATTTCTCTCAAAGTCCTTGGGTTTATTGGCTTCTCTTTTTCTTTCCTCTGTGGATGGATACTTAGGTAGCTGATCTTTATATTTATTTGTTTTCTAGTATGTCTTTTCAGAGCTACACATCTCAGTATATCTGTAGTTGAATCCTAAATTCAGACATGTAATTTTTCACTGGCAGCTACTGGAGAATTATTTCCAATTACTATTTTGAATTCTTTTTTAAGTGTCTGTGATTGTCAAGTACTTGCCTAATTTTCTGATATTTGAGCGTTTCCTATCCTTTTTTTTAGTTGTCAGATATTTATATAAAAAATTGGGTCCATAAATGGTATTTTCCCTCTGAGAGATCTTGCTATTTCCTTCTAATGGGTCTAGAATGGGAGCTGAGTGTCTTTACTCAGTTAGGATCTAATGAACTTCATTCTTTGTGATGGCCAGTTTATTTCTAATTCACACCTACTTCTTAGATGCATTACTATTGAGTTCTGTCCAACACACCTGAAGAGTTTTCAGGGATACCTTTGCCCTGTGAATCCCAAATTATTACTTTACTTTCCCTCTAACTCTGTGGTAGAGTTTTGGTTATCAGCCATTCATTTGCACTTGACATCATCCTCAAAGTGGACACCAAGTGCCAAGCTCATATTTGTTGGTTTCCCTTCTCTTCCAGGTCTTGGCTCAAGCTTCTTATTGTCTTGGTAGATAATCAATTCAATTTTCTTATTGTCTTTTCTATTTAAAAAAATCAAAATATTGTATAAAGCTTCTCTAATATTCTACTAGCTTGAAACTAGTCACTCTAGCATTGCTTTGGGCAGAATTCACACAGGGTGTTTTATTTTGAGTCATATATTTAAGACTTATAAAGTAATAACATATTAAGAGGTCATATCTTTAAGTCATAGTACTTCTGCTTTCTAGATGTTTGGAAAAATTAAGTAATTCTTCTAATCCTTAGTTTCCTCACTTGAAAATGGCCTTACAACAATGGTATTGATCTTATAGATTTATTGTGAGAGTTGACAGAATAAAACTACATAAAGCATCACAAATTGCAATTAACACATAATACGAAATTTTCAAATTATTATAACTTTTGCTTTATTATCATCCACATGAAACAGTTTAGTGAGTTCTAATCATATAATCAGTCATCAATAAAAATTTTACAGTTGTAGTTTTATACATGAGATCTTTAGAAATGTTATACACAAACAATTCTGGCAGGCAATAGTCTTTATAGAGAATGACTGTAGTTAAATCACTGGAATTAAAATCTGTTTGGGTAAGGAAGTATGCTCTCTCTTCAGGTATTGGCTCCTTGATGTTTATTTCATAATTGTACTCTTGAGTACCTGTCTCTAATCTTCATCTTTTCTTATTTTTTTTTACAATTGCAGATGCTTCTCATTTGGTATTGGAGAAGGTGCCTCTACCAGCTTAATAAAAAACATAGCCCGGGTATCAGGGGGCACTTCAGAATTTATCACAGGCAAGGACAGAATGCAGTCCAAGGTGAGGGTCAATGCATATGTCCAGAGGTAGGAAATCCAGACAAGGTGGGGACACTGCTGCAAAGGCAGGATCCAAATTTGCCCTAACACACATTTTTCCATGTCTCCAAGGCTCAGGGTATTTACTTGGTGGGTGCATTTATCCTTGTGGAAAGAGGTCCACTATAGTATCTGAAGAATAGCATCTGGCTCTAGTAGCAGGAAGGCTTTCATATTTAAACCAGAGAATGAGAAGCTACAAGTCATGGCATCAAGTTTGAGACTCCAGTTCTCTGCTTCAGGATCTCTTTTGGTACCATAGTCTGTCCCCCATGGAAATGCTACAAAGGAAAGGAGAAGGAACAAGTACGATATGTCTAAGATGCTGATGTGGGTAACAATTGATATTCTATTTCATTTGTATGCACAAACAAATATCTCTGGTTATATTTCTAAGCCCCTCTTTCCCATCTGATGCTGTCTCTTATCAAATTCCCTTTTCTAGGGACCTCCTTTCCCCAAAATTTTCTGCATTCACATTTATGTAAAATCTCTCAGTTTATCTTCCATGTGTGTGAAGCAAGAGAAATAATGGCCCTCTCACAATATAGGATTAAGGATTAAACATAAGTATTATATCTCATATTCTTGATAAATAATACTCAGTTAAATAATAATAACTATCATTGTCATTCTTATTTGGTTATGATTTTTCTGTTCTGTTTCCTCCATTAGGCCCTTAGGAGTCTGAAGCGTTCTCTTCAGTCCGTGGTAGAGGACATCTCTCTGAGCTGGGATTTGCCTCCTGATCTGTCTGTCAGTATGATTTCCCCAGAACAGACAGTCATCTTTAGTGGGCAGAGGTTAATCGCCTATGCCCAGCTAACTGGGATACTGCCAGTGAGTTTCCATTCTTGTTAGCTTCTTTTCTCAGTGTAGAAACAGTATGGCAATTTCATTAGAGTTGATAGATGGCAATGGATTTCAGGAAGAAATTGTTGGCCAGGTAGAGCCAGCCTACTGTCTCCTGATCATGTCTGGCCTCTAGTTTCATAGGATACTTGATTTCTAATCAGGAATTTTCATGTACTGAGCTGGGAAGTACTCATTTTATGTCAATCCCTCTTTTTCATCACTTCTCTAATTCTTCACTAATTTGTAGGACACTGAGGCTGTAGGAGAAGTATGCCTCAAATACAAGTTCCAGGGCAAGAGTTTTGAAGAAAAGGTAAAATTTTCTGTGCAACCCAAGCTGGATGCCAAGTAAGAATTCAGTTTTGTTTTCCTTTCCCTTCTTTCTTTCTCTGACATCTTTGTTGATTGGATTCCTGAACCAAATGATTTCCTTATAATCATTTTTCCTTTTAACCCACTCAAGTTTTATATCTCATCTTCTCTGATTTTCCTCTCCTCTACTCTGCATAGGTTTTAAGAGTCTTAAGTAACTGGGATGAGATTCTTTTTCTTAAGTCAAAGGAATTTCCTTTCAGTCTCACCATTCATCGTCTTGCCGCAAAGTCCTTAATCCAAACCAAAGACTTGGGCTTCAGAGAGACCCCAGCAAGAGATAAGAAAGAGGTGATGAACCTCAGCATTGCATCTGGAGTCATGAGCTCCTTCACAGCATTCATTGCCATAAACAAGGAGCTCAATCAGCCACTACAGGGGTCTCTGGCTTACAGGGAAATTCCAAGACCAGTTCTGTCATGTTCTACCTCTCTGAGGTCCAAACAATATAGTCAAGGTGAGTTTTATCCCATTCAGAGTCTTACAGAATAAGGAGTTCTGAATATCTGAGCAATTAATGTAAGGGAAATAGTATCAAAATGTTCTTGAGTGCACTTCTTTTTCGTCAAATCTTGGATTGTGGAATAGTGTTAAACTTTTCTCTCTTAAGAAACTAGAATATGTCTCACTGGGAAAGAGATTAAAAATCAGGGGTTTGGGAGAGGGAGAGAATAAAAGGCATATTTGAATTGTCAAATAGTTAAATGTGAAACTGATTTATCTGTGTGACAATTAGATGGTTAATGATTTCACATATATATGGTTGATAACTAGAATGGTCTGGAGGCTGAGAGGGGTAGAAGAAACTATTTAAGGAAAACGTAAAGACTTAAAGATCAACTGGAGACCCTTGGAAAGTAGAGTCAACAGGAGGAAGCAGTCATTTGTCAAGGAGAGTTGAGGGTCTGGTGAATTTGGCTAACTTCACTTTTTTTAGTGGGATCAAACTACTAAAGAGAGTGATGGCTTATGTAGTTCATTTCAGCTATATTCAGCATCTTTGGGATAGAATGATCAGATGGAAGGTTAGCATAATTTAAATACTGGGATTCTGCCAGATATGTGTCCTGAATGGAAATTAGGGGTAGGGAATTTAAGAGATTGATAAAATGATGCAGATTGTTGGATTGAGATGCAGGCAAAAAAAGAATAAAGGAAAATGGAAGTTGATATGTAGAAAAAATATAGACACATCAAGGAAGGACTTAAGTGGACCAGTTGTGGTCAACATCAGGTAAAACAAGAATCTCTAAGGTAAATTCTGCAAAAATGGGTATTATATTTTAAAAGTTAGATTATCTTCAATGAATTTGTTACATATGGAAAAATTCTGTGTGGTAACAAGATCTTTGTGAGTTGGGAAGCTGTGGATAAGTAGAATAGAGCCATAGTGACTAGGTACTAGGAAATCAATAAGCTTTGCATTAGGATATTGGATAGACTACCAACATAGGTGGTGAAGTCTCTCAAGATGATGGCAAACCTTAAACGTAGTGAAAGTCTGTGGTCTGGCTTGCAGATACTTCAGTACATCATGGGAAGTGACAACAAAGGTTGAGAGCAAACAGCAGTGGTGACATGTGGAAGGTAACCCAGGTGAGGGTGGAAGAACAATGATATGGGGTTGAGGAAGTTGCCAACTTCACCTCTTGTGCCTGAGAGCTTGGAGAGCATACACTCATCAACAACCTTTTGGGAGGGATAGAGAGAGAACAATTTTATTTTGTGATGGTACTGGGGTTTGAACTCAGGGCCTCATGCTTGCTAGGCAGTCTCCCTTCCACTTGAGCTATTCCACCAGTCCTTTTTGTGCTGGATATTTTTGAGATAGAGTCTCATGAACTATTTGCCCAGGGCTGGCTTCAAACTATTATTTTCCTGATCTTTGCTTCCTGAGTAGCTAGGATTGATTACAGGCGAGAACCACTGGAGCCCAGCAAGAAAGAGAACAATTTTGTGGGGAGATAGAATTGTTTAAAGTTAAGCCTTGCTTGGAAAAATCCTTCTGTAATTAATCTAAAGACTCAGGAAGTTGTTAGTATGTATTACGAATTTCAAGAAACAGAAAAGAAAGTAGAAAGATAGCTCAGACTTTGAGGGAGGTGAAGGAGGGAAGTTCATGAAAGAAGCATGGGTGATGACTAAAGCTGATCTGGATGGGAAGGTGTGTGTTGCAAGTCATCAGACTTTATTATCTTTGTCTGCTGCAAACATCAGGGGTTCCTCATTCTCAATGTCTATACCAATGTTTTTCAGCTTTGGCACTGACTTCTTCGTCTTCATTTCGGAATGCAAGGAATGTGGCTTGCTGCGCAACTATGACATACAAGCAGAATGGTTAGGATGTCTATGAATCAAATGACCTCTACAGTCTATGTGAGCATCTTCCCAGGGATGTTTTCTCATTAATGTTTTCCCACCACACTTATAGGCAAACCACAAGCTCCTAGTCATGCCAAGAAGAATTTCCAATACTCCACCCGTCAGATGGGAACAACTTATTCTTCCACCAATATGACCAATTTACAAGGTAACCATAAAGGTGAGATGGGCCTCGGTTTACTTCTTCTATCTACAAGGACTGAAGAAATAATCTTCTATGCTTTGCTATCCTGTGGCTTTCTTTACTTAGGACTACTATAATATAGGACCCTGAAAACTTCTACTCCACTGGAATCTGGGTTGACCATCAGTTTAACAGAACCTTTTTGCCACCTTTGCCTAAGATTGCCTATAGGCATGTCCTTGCCCCTTAAGAACTCTGCTAACATCCTGTTTGAACCCCTGATCAACTGGTCATCCTTTTAAAAATTGGATTTGAAGATAGATCTGGAAGTAATTTGACAAGTTTCTCTCTATAGCACTATGCTACAGCCTGTCTTTGAATTTAGCAACCTATCCCAGCTATACTAAGAAGCCAGTAGCTTCATCATTTCCTATACTTTCTTTGTATCTCTCTATTTTTCCTTAAAGTCTTTGGAACAAATGATCTCGTGCAGCTGATTTACCTCCAAAATGCAAATGGTTCCTGGGATCTAGATGAAGGTCTAGCCAAGGTCCTCCGTAAGAGATTGGAAGACATTCAGGCTGCACACCCTGCTGAGGTAAAGGTCAAAGTAAAACACAGGAGTAAGTGTGTTTTTGACGCAGTGAGGTTAGTAAAGAGAATTGGAGTGTGTCCACCGAACACAGGAGTATATAAGGGAGGCATAAACTAAATCAACTTCTAATAAAAAGAGTTTGAAATTTTCATGATTATGTTAGAATAAAAAGAATAAGAAATTAATGGGATGGTTAGTAGGAATTCATCATCAATGGCTAGTTGATGGATGACAGAAGGAAAGAAGAAATCCTCTTTTACTTTAATTATACTCTACAATTTTGGTTGTAGAAGTAAAATTAGTGAACTACTAATCTGCCAGATGCTGTGCTAAGCCGTCAACATTTATGATCTTGTTTATTGCTAACATAGATTAACTGAGTTAGATCTTATTTGTGTTGTTATTTGTAGATGAAGCACTGAAGTTTGCAGAAGTACAAAAATGTGTCTGAGCCAGCCAGTGGCAGTAATGGCATCAATGCTAGGGTAATCTGTCTTCAGAACCCTGTAGTAACCCCATTATTGCCCCTCTTCCTACTAAAGTTTATGGTTTAGACTTTAGAAAAGTTCATTGAAGTCAGGATAGGCAAAGTGTTAGTAGCAGCCACCTAGTAATTTCAAATGTGTTCACGTGTACTGCTAAGGATAAACTCTATTGACAACTTTAAGGTAACTTGATGAATGCTCTAATTCTCCTAGAGAAATTATTAACCATAAGACAAATGCTACAAACATGAAAAACAAATATTATTCTGAATTTTCAAAATTTAGAAGGATTTAAAATTAAAATTATAGTGTAAAATAGCACTGTCCATCCATTATCCACTAGTTACACGTGACTATGTTGTTTTTATGCCTAATACAAACAAGGAATCAAATTTTAGTTAACTGAGGTGTACTATATTGTGAAAAACATACTGATTTCAAACACTTGGTATAAAAAATGTAAAATATTTTATCTCAAGTTATTTTATATTGATTAAATATAAAAATGATAATTCTTTTTTAAGATATTGGGTTAAATATAATGTATTAGTAACTGGAGATGTAGCTCACTTGTAGAGCATGTGTTTAGCATGTGAGAGGCCCTGGGTACACTCCCTAGCACCAAAATAATATAAAATATTAAAATTATTATCTGTATTTATTTTTGCTTTTTTAAAATATGGCTACTAGAAAATCTTAAATTACATATGTGCCTATCATTGTATTTCTATTTGAAAATGCTATTATACAACAAAAATTTTGAAAGGATAATTTATAAAAATCTTAGAAGAGAGTATAAGGACCATGAAGTTTAAACTTAGATTTATTGAGAACAAGACTTGTCAGAGTGACAATTCCTTCTTTGACATTATAACCAGGCCAATGAATCAAAGACATCAAGAGATCTGGTAAATGTGCATTTCAGTAAGGAATATGAATATGCACACTTAGGATAAGGACAAAATAGTTGAAATTCATAGCACTAAACTATGAATCAATTTCAGAATGGTACATTTCTAAGTATTTAAATATTTTTCAACCCATCAGCTCTGAATTTTCATATACATCTGTGTTTTCAATGACTATTTAATGAATATGTAGACCAAAGTTTTCCTGCTTGTAGATGACAGAGCTGCAGCTAGATAGTCCTAGACAAAAGAATCAACATCCCAAATCTTTGAACTTCGAGTTGCAACTTTTCTTGGGAAAGCAATAGCAAGAAAATATAGTTGGAATAAAAGTCAAGTGTGACAACAAGCATTGTGAATCTGTATTTTTCAAACATGATTAATGGGAGCAACAGTATTATCTAAAAAGCCATTGCATTCTTGGGCTGTGATCATCAAATTTCACAAGTACCTTAACCTCTAGATGTGATCATTTCACAAGCTATATTTTAAAAAAATTTGTGATCTTTGTTTTTAGACAAGAACAAGCATGGGGCTTATTACTATTTTGACATAAGTAGTCTTCTTAAGAAAGAACTTCACAAACTGATAATTTTGATCTGAAATAAGACTATTCAGAAAGGACACGACAAAAATTTCCAGACTGGCTGGAGGGAGAGAGGGTGTTGGGGTTTGAACTTAGCTTTGTGCTTTATAGGAAAGTGCTCTACCACTTGATTCATGTCCCCTGTACTTTCTGCTTTAGGTTATTTTTCAGATAGGTTCTCATATTTTTTGCCCAAGCTAGTCTTAAGGCAGTGATTCCTACACCTCCCATGTAGCTGGAATCGCAGGCATGAACCACCATTCCTGTTTGCTCTTTCCAAATTTTTAAAACTAATGGTAAAAAATGGATCTGCTTACTTGATCTGCTGACTCTAAAACCTGAAGCTTTAGGGAACGATGTGTGAAAACTCAAAGGTAGTGATTTTAAGCTTACTAGTGAGATTTTCTATTTAACATTATCAATAGAATCAAAATGTTTGACCTTCAGACCAAACATCATTCACTAGAAGCTAACTTCGGCAAGCCATTTCACTTCCATGTGAATAAAATTGTTCTTCCTATCATGTTTTCTGGAGAGAGGATGAGTACTCAAAGTTAAAAAAAGTGAAAGCAACTATGCATGTGCTTCTTTTACAAGCGAGTTACTACTTGTATGGAGTGTTTAGGGGTTTCCCTCATTGTTGTGGTTACTCGGGATTTAAAACTTAGACTGCTCTAGACTAAGACTCAATGGATTGTTGTTTCAGGGATTGAGTTTCAGGGCCTAGCATTATGCCTTGCAGGTAGCAGATACAGATAGAGAGACCAGGCATTGCCACCTTATTGTAATTTGGGGGATGGCAAGGGAGGAGGGGGTGAAGATTATTGCATCCTCTTAAGGGGCTTCTTGCCTCTTCCTGGGACTTCAAGAACATCTCTGTCTACTGTGCAGTGTGTGGATTCCAATACCTGGGCCACAGTCCTGGCTGTGCTTTGGCTGCATGCCAACGGTAAGGACATGAAGTGTGAGTGGGACCTTCTGGAAAGGAAGGCTGTGGCCTGGATTTGCAAAAATGCAAGTAGGAGCACAATCCAAGGAACCTTCACTTCCCCGTTAGGAAGTCAATTATCTCTGCAGACACTGAGACCAAGGGCTAGCAGAGGGAGACCAAGAGAGTCCCCATAGTCACTCCAAATACATCCTGGAACATAACTTCTCTATTCTCCCAACTAGTCCTTTCTTTAACAGGATGAGGGTGAAATGTGTAATTAAGGGTGTTGGAGGGAGGTGAGGAAAGAGGGAAATTGACATGGATGAGGAGTGTTAATGCAGGAACAACATGAATTGGCACTTGCTGTTCTCTGTCTGTCGGTAGTAGACTTGGAGCACTTATTGCTTAAGTGCTTAAGTGTTTTTTATCTCACTGCTTCCATATTTCTGGGGTCAGAGATTAAAGAGAATCAGATCATGAAGAACAGAAAAATCAGAGGTACTAAGGAAAGATAAAGCAGGACTGAGAAGAGATGACTAGGGAGGTTGAGTGAACACTGAAAGAAGAGCTTCCTTATTGTTTGCTGTGCCCCATCCTTGATTCTTGTTTTCCTTCTCATAGGCTCTACCATACCCATGCTTGTGAAGGTTGGTAACACTTTCCTGAAGTCATCTGTGAATCCTGGTATTTTTGCCATCTGAGGAGTCTGTCAAGAAAAAGAATGACCTTTCTCTGGGTATATTGACACTTCCTTCATCTTTTCTGCTTTGATATGTTTTTGTGTTTCATAATTGTCATATCAGTTTCTTGCCATAAAAGTACTAAATAAAGAACCTTGTCTCTCTATTCCAGGTCCCTTTGGACATGATCATCTTTTCCCAGTATGATGCTTATGACAAGTTATTATAGTCCCAGACCTGTTCCCTTTCTTAGAGTGGTTCAATTATTGAGAGTACTAAAAACTACACATATATTAATGCTCCTTGTAGGTTTTTCCAATGATCAGATGAAAAACAGAGAACAGGGACTTCACACAAAGACTGCAGCACTTATGTTAGGAAATATCTGAATTAGAAAATTCTCTGCATTGTCTTTGTCTATTCATTTTTTATTTTATATACTTGCCAGGATCATATTGGTAAGCTTTAAAGTTTTCCATTTGTAGAAAGAGGTGTTGAAGGAAAGTTGAAAGCCAGTATCAGGTTCAATGTAACTTCAAGATACAAAGATTCAAGGTTTCACTGGAAGCATGGCACTGTTGAGGACCTTCTCGATTAGTTCTTCTTGGTCTTTGTCATCTGCTACTACTTGGTTTTCTTCTTAGTGACAAATCTAGTTGGCTTGAGTAGTACTTGTTGGAGGCAGATATTCTCCTTAGTTTCTAATCATCACATAAAAGGATTTAATGAAATTTTAAACTTAGCCTGTATACATAAGATCTCTTAAGTCAGGCTATGATCTACTTTAATGAAAGACAAAGTTAATGGCAGTTATGCTTGAGAACTGAACATGAACTTCTCACCATTTAAGCAAGACAGGAGCTCCCCATGTCTTTGACCCTTGTCTCATATACCTCATCTTAGTGGAAATGATCCCACTTGATATATTAGTTGTTAAAAGTGACTATTGTATTAACATTAAAATGACTATTTCTGCTCCTTCTTTGTTCAACCTATTCTTTTATAGAGTAATTCATTGAACCTAGATTCATTGTATTATTGTTTGTGATTTTTTTGAAATTTTTTTATTATTGTTGTACTGGGGGTACACTGTTACATTTATAAAAGTGATTATAATACATCCTAGTTAAATTCACCCCCTCCATCATTCTCCTTTATCCTCCTTTCCCCCATTCTTAGAATAGTTTCGACAGGTCTCATTTTTCCATTTTCATATATGAGTACCTAATATTTCCACCATATTCACTCTCCTATATCCTTTCTTTTTATCATCTGCCTTCCCTTTGTGTCAACCCCCAGACAGGACTTGTTTTACCTTCCTGTCCTCTGTTTTTGAAAAAAGACATTTTTTAATTTATCTATACAGAGAGTTTCATTATTACATTTCCATGTATATAAGTCCCAATTTTTCTGATGTGTCTATTGTTCTCACTGTGCTCTGTCCCTATATCTTCTGTTGTAGGCTGATTTGCTGTCTTATCTCAAACAAGAAAAGGTCACTAGTCAGAAAACAATTAGATTCTACCCATTCACATAAATAATTATGTAATAATGAGGCCCTTAGAAAAGTAAACTAAGGCATTAAGAAACTAGGATGTTAGAATGCTGTTATTACCTTCATCTTGTATACTCAAGAATTTTGAGAACCTCAGTTTCTTACTCTCTGTTAGTGGCCAGTCTAGTCCTGAGTTCCTTATAGTTTCCTGTGTGTGTGTGTGTGTGTGTGTGTGTGTCTCTGTGTGTGTGTGTGTTTAAAGCAAGAGAGTTTGTTGAGATAAAAAAGTAGCTAAGAGTAGAGCTCCCAGAGCTGTGAGGGGTCCCAAGAGAGGGTGCCTCCTTATAATTGCTATGTAAACTGACATTATGAGGATTTATGTGACTTATGTAATGGGATTTCATCTTGAGTTTTCCACTGAGTTTGCATATAACTGTGAACTATGGAATAATGCTGTAGACTCAACTGGACTCTTGTTAGAGAAATAATTTTAGGCAATACCAACAACCACTGTATTGAAGTCAGAATTTTCACAAAGTTCCTTGGTTACTTGTATGCTACATTAAAATGTAGAAGTAACAGCTTAGTGCTTTCATGAAATTGACTAGTATCAAAGTCAGTCTTCTAACATCTCTCGTCTATGTAACATTACAAGGTGTATTTTTCCTAAGGACTGTGAAGCTTATAGATGTACCCTTTGCTCACAAACATGTGTCACTTTACATTTATTTGTAGTGAATTTATTATTGCATTATTCACCTCTTTTCTCACCTTTCAGCCTCTAGTCTTAGCTGTGGCTTGGAGACTTGGTACAGGGTCTCTAAAGCAAAAAACCAAAGCAAATAAAGAACAAACAAGAAACCATTTGTCTTCTGTCTTCTTTAATATGTAAAACCCACTATAGGGTTTTTTGTTGTGTTGTTGTTGTTTCTTTTGGTAGTCCTGGGAATTGAACTTAGGGTCTCATGCTTGCGAGGCAAGCACTATACCACTTAACCATACTGCTAGATCCCCAAGTACAATTTTTAAGTTGCATTGCTTAATTTTTCTATTTTAGCTACTGTGTGATGAAATTCTTCAACTCTAAACAAGTGTTGGTTTTCATAATCAAGTAGCCTTTTGGCCACGTTCATTGAAAACCCATTGCAAGGATGGTGCTTTTGTTTGAGAAAAATGTAAAGAAACACCTGTGCTTTCAGTAGCTGACAGTTGTCTGGACAAGGAGCCCAGAAGAGAAGCCATTCTCATCTCCTGGTTTCTTTCATTCTGCACTTGTTTCCTAGCTGCTGCAAACTGGCCGTAAGAATGTGGAAAACACCATTGCCTCAAGATTCTCCCACTAAACTGAGTGCAGGAGCTCCAAGAGATGGAGCACTGTTGTACATAGACTTGATGAAGTCAGTTGCCTGTCATACTCAACTCTAATACAGTTATACTTTGGATCACTTAGCATCTGCTATTCCTTTTCCAACTCAACCATTGCTTCTTTGAGAGCAGTCTATTGAATTTATGAAATATCTGATTGACCAGAAGACAATCTATACATAATGAAAACTCCACATCTGTTGCTTCTCCTTAGAGTTCTATCAGTTTTTAACTTACATGTATAGATTTTCTCTTCTTAGGTGTATATGCATTTAAGATTATTATGTTTACTTAGAGAATTGTTTCTTATTAAGTAATCCCCAGTTTTTTTTCTGATGATTTTATTTGTTGTGAATTTGGCTTTGTCTGAAATTAATATCATGACTCTAAATTTCTGTTAATTAGTGTTTATATACTTTCTCCATCTCTTTACTTTTAACCTGAGTTTTTAAATTTAAAGTGGGTTTCTTTTACACAGCATATGCTTGTGTCTTGCTTTTTTTAAAATCCATGCTGAGAATCTCTGGCTTTTAAAGTCTATTTAGACCATTCATATTTAAGGTGATGATTGATATAATAATATCATTGGGTAAATATCTACTACTATTTTCTATTTGCTGCATTTCTTCTCTAACATTTCTCCATCTTGTTTTACCATTCTCTGGTTCTAATTAAGCATTTTATATGGTTTCATTTTTTTATTCACTCTTAAAAGGTTTTCTAGCTGTTGCACTGGAATTTATAATATACATTTATAACTAATCTAGGCCCCCCTTCAAATAACACTGTACTACTTTATATGCATTGCATTTACCTTATGACAGAACATACTAATTTCTTCCCTCTTATCCATTACGGTATTTCTGTCACAAGTTTCAGTTATCTATACATTATATCTTCCCAAAATGTTGTTGCGTACTTTAACAAACTAGCTTTTGGATCAACTAAAAACACACACACACACAAAAATAGATTTATTCCTACTTCATATTCTTCTTTCTTAATGTAGATCTGAATTTCAGATTTGTGTCATTTTCCTTCTTCCTAAGGAACTTTTTTAAACATTTCTTGGAGAACAGGCCTGGTGACAAAAGATAATCTTCATTTCTTTGGGAAGTTCTTCTCTTCCTCTCTTTTGACTTGTAGGCTAGCCTTGAATTCTTGGTCCTCCTGTCTCTGCCTCTCAAGCAGCTGGGATTGCACACATGTACTATCATGGCAGGCTCTACTTTCTTCTTTTTTGAAGAGCTTTTAGCAATAATTCTGCTATCCTTCTTCATGTGTTTCCTATACTCCTTACTCCTTTCAAGATTTTTGTCATTTGTTTTCTGCAATTTGAATATATTTGTAAATATGCTTTTTTTTAAAAAAATTATTTTTTCTGGTGCTGTCTGAGCATCATAAATCTATAGTTATGATTTTCATTATTTTTGCAAAAACTTGACCTTTATTACTTCAACTATTTCCCAGCTCTGTCCTCTTTTTCTTGTGTTGCAATTACAAGTGTTTTCCTTTTGAATTGGTCTGAAGTCTTTGAGGTTCTCTGAGGGATTCTTTGTTTCTTGTTTTGGGATTTTTTGGTAGTTGTTTTTTTCCTATCTTTTATTTTTGTCTTTGTATTTCATCTTAGGGAGTTTCTATTAATCTGTTTATCAGCCTAATTTCTTTACTGAGCCATGCCACATCTATGGGTGAACTCTTCAAAACAGTCCTCAAACGGAGCACCAATGGCTCATGCCTGTAATCCTAGATCCTTGGTGGACTGATGTCAGGAGGATCATGGTCCCAGACTACTAGAGGAAAAGAAGTTTGTGTGACCCCATCTCAACCGAAAAAATAAATGGGTGTGGTGGTGTTTGGCAGTCATTCCAGGTAAAATGAGAAGGATGAAAATAGGAGGAGCCTGGTCCATGCTGACCAGGGCAAAAGGCAAGACCCTATGACCCTATGACCATAACATTGAGAGCAAAAAGGGCTGGTGGCTTGGTTCAAGTTGCATAGTGGCTATCTAATAAGCACGAAGCCTTGAGTTCAAACCTTAGTACCACCAAAAAGAAAAAAAAAGTCCCTTTTTCTGTCATTGTGACTGAAAGCATAAGCCATTCTAGCGACTTCTGTGCTTACTGTACTCTTTATTTCTCATTTCACTCACATTACATACTCTTTGGCAGTGGCATTCTTTAAACATTAGATTCTCAAATAGGCCAAGAACCTACAACAATTGAATTTAAATCTTGTTCATCACAATACCCTGAGCCATTGTAAGGTATGCATGTAATACTAAACTCAAATGGAAGGAAGGCTGTGTTCTTACTCAGAAGGACTCTGGAAACATTCAGGCAGCCACTGGAGGTCTCCTGATGACAGCCTCCCTAAAACCTAGTTTACAAGTTTCATAAGTTTGGCCTACGACAGCATGAAAATACAACCTAAAACTCCTTCTTCTAGAAAATTAGACATTCTCCATGCCAGAGAGATAACAGACTTTCTGTCCCATCTTCATAAGGACCTGAGTGTCATCTCTTATTCTAAAATGAAGGCTTCAGGGAAATGACTCATCAGAAAGGGAAAGACGTTTGTATTTGGATACAACCTGGCAAATAAAAAAAAAAAAACAACTAAGTATCTTTGAGGCAAATGTTAGTAAAGCACTTTATTATCTGAGGGGGAAAACATGATCAATGTTTTGATCAATGACAGACTGCATGTGTTATCTACCATATGACTGGTCTCTTCTTGCTCTATTCAGATAGGAATTGTGAGTAGGCAAGAGAAGCTCTTCTACTGTTGGCAGCCAGAAGGACCTGAGACCCAAGTCCTAGAGTCTGGGCTGGCAGACCAAGAGGCTTAGCTTCAAACCCTGAGAACAACAGGTCTAGTGCTTCAGGCTTTAGAAGAGTTTTATGGCTCTAGACACTCAGATTGGAAGCTTATTGCTCTGGTCTTTAACCAACAGTATCCCTGGAACTTGGCAGCTATTGCTCCTCAGCTT